GGCCTCCCAGAGAGCTAGGATTACAGGCGTGAGCCACCGCGCCCGGCCTGATTATGGGAAGATTTTAATGCATACGCATGTGTTTGTCTTTCCTCATGCAGATTTCCAGCACAAGTTCACGGTGCAGGCCTCCCCCACCATGGATAAAAGGAAGAGTCTTATCAACAGCCGCTCCAGTCCTCCTGCAAGCCCCACCATCATCCCTCGCCTTCGCGCCATCCAGTGTGAGACTGTTTCCCAAATTAGTTGGGGCCAGAACACACCAGGGGCACCTGTCCCCTGCTCTGTCCCGCCACCGACTGGCCCAGGCTTGCTCCATCCATACCTTCTGCCACTCTTCTCGCCATGTGTATATACATGCACATATGTACGCACACCCTTAGCCTCCCCCTTGCTTCTCTCCATTAACTTTGCTGCTGCTTCCTCTCCCTAGTACTCTTAGTTAGATAGCAGGGGGGTTTCTGGGTTCTGAAGGGGTCTAGGGAATGACAAAGTGATTTGGAAACTGGGGTGTGATATAGATACAGGATGGTACCTGGCCCAGGGACCTAGCACACTCTCTGCCATATCTGGGGCATCATTGTTTTTCTTTCATGCATGCTTCCCAAGGAAGGATTTTTCTAAAGTATAGGTCCTAAGGAAACTTGCCAAATACTTTATAATTGGCCAAATCTGGACCCATCTTATTTTTGCTGCAGTTTTTGCTGAAAAAAAAATGCATACACACATGTATATATATACATATATATACACACACATGAATGAGTTCATTTCCCTGATTTAAAGATAGATCTCATTTAAAAATCCTGGATTTCTGGCTTTCCTTGAAAAATCAAACCAGGGGGTTCCCTTTTCTATTGGCCACAGCTGGCTGGAACTAATAGCAAAGCTATATGCCCCATGTTTTGCCTTAGTCCCCTCAACTCCCTGTTTTTTGGTAGCTGGTCCACTTCACTCATTTATGATGGAAGCCTGGTCCCTGAGGCGTTTGGGTCTCCACCCTGCTCTAAGGTGTCAGTGTCAGAGAATGCTCCTCTTCTCCTCCTACGATCTTTCTCTAGGCCTGTTCCTTCCCCCTCCTACTCCTGACTTCCTTCTCCACAGTCTTGAGCTCCTCACATTCCTCCTTTCCAGCCCTTTCCTCCCAGAATGTCTGCACTTCCACATCTTCCTCACCCCTTGTCTTTTTGCCTCTTCCTGCCTCCTCATTCCACCCTATATTTATTTCCACCCAACAAGATAAGTTCCTTAAGTCAGATCTGTTTGAAACTCTGCTGTCTGGCTGGCCTGAGCTCTGGCTTTACATTGGATTTGTGAAAATTTGGCAAGTTTTCCCAAAATTTAGTACTTTGAGAGAGCTGTATGATTGGTGGCTGAGAGCACCATTACTTTCCTGGAAGGGTCCATGTGGGCTCAGCGTTTTTGATGAGGTCTAACTTCCCTGCAGCTCCAAATGTGTTTGTGTGTGTGTGTACGTGTGTGTGTCTAGCAGTGTAGAGACTAGTTTTGGGGTGCTATGTCTATCCATTTTCTAGATCCCACCCAACCTTCGTTATTCGCAGTGACACCAGGCGAAAGCAGCAAAACCTGGGGCAGGAGCTCGGTCATCCCGAAGGAGGACGCGGAGGAGGAGGAGAAGAGGGCCTCAAAGAAGAAGGGACGGACGTGGGGGCCAGGGACGCTTGGTCAGAAGGAGATTGCCTCAGGAGATGAAGGGTAAGAGCCAACTGAAGTGAAATTCTTTCTCACTTAAAGACAGGTACACCATTTTAAAATGTGAAAGACCTTTTCTCCCTGTCATATGTTTCAACTCTTTCTGAGAAATGACAAGCTTCTTGATCTTTACAATAGACTTTTTCCCTCTCCTTGTTCCCCAGAACCTCCTAGGACAGGGATTGGCAAACTTTTCCCATAAAGAGCCAAATAATGAATATTTTAGGCTGTGTGGAGCTTCAGGCTGTGTGGAGCTTCTGGCTCTGTTGCAGCTGTTCAGCTCCCCTGTCGGGGCGCAGATGCTGCCAGGGACAACACGTAAGTGAATGATATGGCTGTGTGCCACAAACCTTATAAAGAGTTAGCCCACCACGTAGAGTTTGCCGACCCCTGGAGGTGTCGTACTCAGAGTAGCAAGTAGCCCAAGCGTTAACCAAATGTAAAAAGTTTTGCCAGAGTGTTCTACTTAATATACCTGGCTCTTCCCCCTTAAAACATCCATTGAGAGGACAGAGAAGAGAGAGCAGAGGCTAACAGGACTCTCTTGACTAGAGGCTCACCCTGAGGCAGGGGCAGGCAGAATAACCCAGCCCTGGTAGTGCAGGTGGATATAACTCCAGGGCCACTAAGCACTTCTTTCAGGCCTGACCCCATAGCCACGCTGACACGTATGAGGGCCTGCTCTGGGCAGAGACAAGGGGGCTTGAGTGCCTTGAATGTGCATCTGTTCTCACTTGTGGGGTCAAGGCCTAAGGGTCCGCTTCACCCCTGAGTCCCAGCTACTCACAGGCCAGGGCACTCGTAGTGTGGGAGTGAAGAGCTTGGATTCTGGCACCAGACTGCCTGGGTGTGAATCCTGGCTCCACCATGCTTAGCTGTGTGACCGTAATGTTTTCTCATCTATAAAAAGGGGCTAATATTAGCACCCATCTCTTAGAACTGATGTGAAGGTTAATTAAGTAAATTCATCTTCGTAAAGTGCATAGAGCACTGGCTGGCTCAGGGTAAGCATATGTAAGTATCAGCTACGAGTATTCTTCCTGGCTTCTCTTGCAATTCTATTTCATATTTGAAAAATGGACAGAACAATGTATACTTATTCCTGGTGTTAGGATCTAGAACAATGTTTCTTGATTTTCCTAAGTGCAAGCATAACCAGCGGTCTCCTTCACCTTTTTTAGACTTTCCAAAGAGCTTCTAAGGTTGAATATTGGCTTATAGGGGGCCTGAACCTGTAACTGGCCTTGGTAATCCTTCAAATACTAAAATTTCATGTCTAAGATCTATTATTTCTCCGTGTCAGATCTGAGCTAAAGGTGAAAGTAACAGTTTAGTTCATAAAAGAATGACTCTCTGAAGCTAGGCTTCAAAAGTCACTAGATACTTTTAAATAGAAAATCTAGATATGTAGGACAAAGTAGCTAAGCTGTGTGAGAATTCAGCAGTTGAATCCTTGGGGGCGGGGGGCGAATTGCTCTATTCTACTAAGTGCTGTAGGAGCAAGAGCTCTCCAGTTTGTCCTTTGAGCCCTGGGTTAGAGTAGGGTTGAGCTGGGTCCAAGAAACTCAGTCACCCTGAGTCTTTTGATATTTCTTGACATTAATGTGATTCCAGGTAGAGTTTACCAGGCTTGCTATGGATTCAAGTAATTTCTATGGTTCTCCTTCATATAGAGATATTTTTTGTCTGGGTAGTAAATTAACATTTATTTCACATTACAAAATATTAACTTTGGGATTTTCTTCCTCCTTCCATAGATTTGCCTTCACAAACTTTTGAAGCAATTCAAAATATATGACTTAATTTTTCATGATCCACAGTTCCTATTAAAGAAATAAAAGTTCATTTCATCCAGTCTCAAGTAAAGACCTCTTTAATGTCACAAATGTTTGAGAACCTCTAAATGATAATATTTCTAAATTTCATACCTGTTGACCAAAGAAAATATGTAATGACCAAAAGCTATCTTGAGCTGAGCAATGTTAAATAAATTTGCATCTTCCTCCTTTTGAAAAATAGTATGTATCTGTCTGCAACATATGCACTTGTCCGTAGACAGCTTTGGAGATCCATGGATTTACAGGCCCCTGTGGCTGCCCAGGAATCTTTGTCCTACCGATTGGGAGGTCTTGGGCCTGTAGCAGCTTAAGCAGGGTCATCTGATTAAGATTCTTTCACGGCGTGGGCTTTGCCTACTGGACCAGGGGCAAGTAGCTGGCAATGTATTAATAGCTCAAGTCCAGTGTTGAGTCCACGTTTTCGTGCGGGAGAGGCTGAGCTGATGTGTCCTCCATTGCCTACTACTGATTCTCTTTATTTGTTGAAGATCCCCTCAGAGGCGTGAGAAAGCTAATGGTTTAAGTACCCCATCAGAATCTCCACATTTCTACTTGGGGTGAGTCTAATCGTCACCCTTTCCCCAACTGTGCTGGTAACAATCCCCCTTCCGTTTTCTCGTTCTCACAGCACACCCCATAGAACCAAGCCTCATTATTGCCAGGGCTGAACTGACTTTGATTTCATTTTTATTTTAAGTGGTACCATCGTGCACCTTGGGAAGATTCCTGTGTTGATCTAACTTTACCTTATTCTTCACTCTGCTGACCACTCCAATTCTCGGCATATTCCTGGCACCCTTAGCTTTAGGGAGAAGAAAACGTGGCTTTTTGTCATTTGGTCTTGAGCACTGGTTTTGACTTTGCTAATCTGGATTTTCTTAGATCCAGAGCTGAAAGTGAGGTTGCAAGATTATAATTTGGAAGTCCCAGGCTGTGGGTTTAGTGGTAGGCTTATCTCTGGCTCTGTATTTTCGTTGAAACCAGGGGTGGCTGAAATGTGCTTTAATTCATTAGTATTTCTGATAGCACTTGAAACAGAGTTCTGTGGTCAGGGGAAAAGTTCATCCTTCCCCTTCCTTAAAATAGGCTGGGACTCTGGGGAGAGGGGGCTTTTAGTTGAACATTTCTTTCTAGCATTAAAAAAGGAGCCACCTCTGGTCATAATTCCAATATCTCCAAGGCAACCACAGCCCACAGATTCCTCGGTCCTCCCTTCACTGTCCTCTAGGGAAAAGACCAGTGCCCCTGGGCCTCTGATCCCCCCATGCTGCACGGGGGTCGGCAGGGTGCCCAGGCTGTATCCTCGGAGAGTTACCGGCTTGCCACATGAGCTGATTACAGGGATTTGAAAGTGAGCTCCTATCCTGTTTCTCTCGACCCCCAGACAAACCGAGGGCTCTGGGTCAGCACTGTGTATTACCCCACATAGGTCTGTCCCAAAGTGCACTGGGTTGGCGCAGCTTTGTTAGTTGACTTTTCTTTTTGAAAAGCGGATGGCTTTGAAAGTTGCCTAAGCATGCCATAAGCTTGGAAGGAGACTGAGAAATTGTGTGAGTGGAGTGGCCTGGCCCAACTCTGCTAGCTCTGCTGCCCGGTGCTTGCCTGGCTCTGCAGGTCTTTGCATTGCAGCCATTTTGAACGTCATGAGTGCGTTTTGTTCAATGTCTGTGCATTGAGTGGATGGATCCAGGCAAGACCCCCACCGGCTGGGCAGTCCTTATCCTTTCTGTCTTTTTGTACCAGCCTGCCCACCAGATCTTTCTGTAGTCCCACGGCAGCATGTGGGGAGTGGGGTGCATCCTATCACTGCTTTGCCTTCCCTGGAGCATGTGCACTTCTGTCTTTGAAGCAGGTGGGCTCAGTAAGAATTGTTTCTGTCCCCCAAGACTCTGTGGTATAATAAAGCAGATGGGGAGAGACATTCCCATAAGCCCATGGAGCTGAGGTTGAGTAAGGAAAGTAGCCAGTTCTGACAGTGTCCTTTTGTCCTCTTACTCAGCCTCAAATCCCTGGTAGATGGATACAAACAGTGGTCCTCCAGTGCCCCCAACCTGGGGAAGGGCCCCAGGAGCAGCCCGGCCCTACCTGGGTTCACCAGCCTTATGGAGATAGGTAAGCATTGCTCTTATCTCGGTTCTCTCCCTGCTCCCTCGGGGAACCCTTGCCCAGGCTTCTAGGGCTGTTTAAGGACCCCTGGGCCTCCCATGGGGGTTGTCTCCTCTTTCTCTCAACTCCTGGCCCCCACCCTATCCCTTCTTAGTTTGCTCTATGCCCATTTCATTGAGTCTTCCCAAATCCCCATTTATTCCTATAGCTACCGTGGAGCCTGCCCTTGGAATTCTATCCAAGGGGCCAGTAATAGTCCCCTTGGGGCAGTGCAGAAGGGTGAGGCCTTGCACCAGGCATTTCCCTTTCCTGGGTCTGTTTCCTCATATCATAATGTGGGGAGTCCACACAGTGGAGGACGGTGGTAGAGACACTCCTACCTCCCTCCCAGGGAGCTTTCCCAGTGTTGGCGGTGACTACTGCATGGGGAAGGGCTTCTCCAGTCTCTCAGATAGTGGTATCTCTGTAGATTTCTAAGGTGGTGATGCATCAATCCATAGAGGTTGGCCTTCCATGTAAGAGATTCTAACCCTTCACAGGAGCTGGTCTTAAGACAAGTTGCTAAGCCATCATTCTGGAAACCCAGAGGCCCTTCCCATTTTAAGGTACCAAAACATTAGGAATGTTCCTGTTCTATCCAGTGTTCTAGAAACCCATACTGGACTTTGTGTTGAGGATCCCTTTTGAAAAGAGTAGCGAGTTACCAGATGCCCTTTTCTGCAAATAGGGAAATGGGCTCCAGAATGGAGAGTGACTTCCTCACGTTGGTCACAGCTGAGTGTGGGAGGATGAAGCCCTAATGTCCAATTCCACGTCCTGTTCGTCAGACCATTTGACCTTTGTATCCCTGACACTAAGCCAGGAGGCCCGGGGTCGGGAAAGGACCACATTCTCATTCTTGCTGCTTCCTCCCCATTTCCTATCTCCCTTCCATTCTCATCTTCACAGAGGATGAGGACAGCGAAGGCCCAAGGAGTGGAGAGAGTCGTCTACAGCATTCACCCAACCAGTCCTACCTCTGTATCCCATTTCCTCGTGGAGAGGATGGGGAAGGCCCCTCCAGTGATGGAGCCCACGAGGAGCTGACCCCAGTCAACTCAGCCACCAGTACCCCTCAGCTGACGCCAACCAACAGCCTCAAGCGCGGCAGTCCTCATCACCGCCGCTGCGAGGTGGCTCTGCTTGGCTGCGGGGCTGTTCTCGCAGCCACAGGCCTAGGGTTTGACTTGCTGGAAGCTGGGAAGTGCCAGCTACTTCCCCCGGAGGAGCCTGAGCCACCAGCCCGGGAGGAGAAGAAGAGGCGTGAGGGTCTTTTTCAGAGGGCCAGCCGTCCTCGTCGGAGTACCAGCCCCCCATCCCGCAAGCTCTTCAAGAAGGAAGAGCCCATGCTGTTGCTAGGAGACCCCTCCGCCTCCCTCACGCTGCTCTCTCTTTCCTCCATCTCCGAGTGCAACTCCACCCGCTCCCTGCTGCGCTCCGACAGCGATGAGATTGTGGTGTATGAGATGCCAGTCAGCCCAGTGGAGGCGCCACCCTTGACCCCGTGCACCCACAACCCCCTGGTCAATGTCCGAGTGGAGCGCTTCAAGCGAGACCCGAACCAGTCTCTGACTCCCACCCACGTCACACTCACGGCCCCCACGCAGCCAAGTGGTCACCGGCGGACTCCTTCTGACGGGGCCCTCAAGCCGGCAGCTCTCCTGGCCAGCAGGAGCCCCTCCAGCAATGGCTTGAGCCCTAGTCCTGGAGCAGGTGGGTCTTGTCCTCTTCCTTGTTTCTCTTTCCTTTCTTTGTGCCTCCCCAGGGAGTGACGACCTTGGCAGGTGCCTCGTTTCCTTTTTCCACTTCTGGATTTGCGTGAACTCCATTCTTCCTATTAGTCAAGAAATACTGATCTGGGATCAGGGAGTGGCCAGGGTTGGCTGACTTCTTTCTGCTCTGTGCCCTGAGGATTGAAAGAAGACGGGAAGGTCGTAGGAAGAATCAGACCTGGGACTCCTGTGGGATGTTCAGACCCTGGGCCTTTGGGGTAGGGCCGTGTTTTCATAGTACGGGAAGGGCTGCAGTTACCAGCAAGGAAACCTTCGCTGCACGTAGGAGGGGTATTTTTCTGCCACACAGCTGGGCTCTTGCCTCTCATTATAGCATTAGTTCACACACCCTCGTAAGGCAGGCTTCTGCCCATTCTTCACACCCTCCGACACTCATCCCTTACTCATGCCTGCCTCTTCAGACAGGACATGCGTCCAGGTAAATTGCTGTCCCTGTGCATGTGCTTGCCCTCCCCAGCTGACATCTGAAGCGCTTGTCACACACTCATCCTGGGTCTTCCCTGCCACCATCCCTTGCTCCCTAGAAGATCTAAGTCCGACTTGGAAACAGCGTCCAGTCCAGTAGGGAAAGAGGGGATGGCAGTACCCTTTCAATGAGATGTGAGTGTCAGTGACAATTGTATTTAACCAGTTGGCTTGACCTTCCCTCTTGTAGATATTTTTGTTATACTCAGGTATGTGACCTCTTGGGAATAGAGACCCTATTAGACTTCTCTTATCTAGCTCTGGTCCCGTCACATGTTTATTCAATGGATGAACAGTGAATGGACAGACATTCCCTTAAGTCAGGGGTCAGTAAACTCATTTTGGTAAAGGGCAAGATAGTAAATATTTTAGGCTTTGTGGGTCGTACAGTTTCTGTTATAACTACTCAGCTATGTTGCTGGGGTGGGAAAGCAGACTTTGGATGTGGCTGCATTCCAGTAAAACTTTGTTTACAAACATAGGGGGCTGGCTTGTGGGTCATTTGCGGATATCTGCTTTAGGTTATTTCATTGCAGATGTGACCCCCATGTGTCCTATTATTATTACCAGATACAGGGACTGTTACCTTCTGGTTCACTGTTGTTTCCCCAGTGCCCCCCAGGATACTGCATGGCACGTAGGTGCTCCATACATGTTTGTTAATGCGTGTTATCCCAAGTGTGTCGGGATGTGGCAGGTGGGGAGGGAGCCATGTAAATCTGGCCCAGAAATCCGGTACCCTCATCTCATGCCTCTCCCTTTGTCTCTTGACCAGGAATGCTGAAAACCCCCAGTCCCAGCCGAGACCCAGGTGAATTCCCCCGTCTTCCCGACCCCAATGTGGTCTTTCCCCCAACCCCAAGGCGCTGGAACACACAGCAGGACTCTACCTTGGAGAGACCCAAGACACTGGAGTTTCTGCCTCGGCCTCGGCCTTCTGCCAACCGGCAACGGCTGGACCCGTGGTGGTTCGTGTCCCCCAGCCATGCCCGCAGCACCTCCCCAGCCAACAGCTCCAGCACAGAGACGCCTAGCAACCTGGACTCCTGCCTCGCCAGCAGCAGCAGCACTGTGGAGGAGAGGCCTGGACTGCCGGCCCTGCTCCCGTTCCAGGCGGAGCCGCTGCCCCCCGCCGAGCGGACGCTTCTGGACCTGGATGCAGAGGGGCAGAGTCAGGACAGCACCGTGCCGTTGTGCAGAGCCGAACTGAACACACACAGGCCCACTCCTTATGAGATCCAGCAAGAGTTCTGGTCTTAGCATGAGAAGGGGCGGGGCGGGCAAGGGGGGAGCGGGAGGAGGTGGGGGAGCTGGCTGGTACAGCCCTTTCTCAGAGTTGGACCCCCTGAGATCCAGCCCTACTTCTTGCACTGATAATGCACTTTGAAGATGGAAGGGATGGGAACAGGGCCACTTCAGAGGGTCTCTTGCCCTGCAGGGCCCCTCTACTCCTATCCACTGGGGAGACTGTGGCCATCAGCTCTGGCTGTGTAGGGGAGGGTGGGGTGCGTGCATGTCCCCCACCCTCTGGTCTTCCTCGCCTTTTGGGTGACCCTGCAGAGTCACTCAGCCAAATCTATCTGCTGCTCCCTGTCCTCAGCCAGTTGGGTATGCCCAGAGCTATCCTGGGTTTCTCTGTCAGCCCTGAGTTCAGCCTCCCAATGTCAGTATTGGAGGTTCTGGGATTGGCTTTGCTCCTTTTCCATTCTCCCCAGCACCCATGAATTGGAATTTCATTTGGTGTGAGATCTGAGCTTTTCTGTGCCCTAAGCCCTCACATGCCAGCTGGAAGACTGAAGGCAAGGTGGCCCAGGGTGGGGACATAGGGTTGGTGGGCCTAGCACTACCTATCTGCACTTACTCATTTGAGCCCACAGGTGGAAAAGGGAACTGCCTCAGAGAGAACTGGTGGGCATGGGGTGTTAGGAAAAATACAGTCATGTTGCAGTGAAGAAGATGACAGAGTCTGTCCTTGTTCCTTTTGGAAACACTCAAAGAAGGGCAGAAACCAGTACCTGTTGAAAGTACCCATCTACCTACTTAGGGTCAGGACATGGTCAGACCAGGTTCTGATATAAACATTTGCTCATCCTAGGAATAGTTTCTTGGGAGACTCACTCATTGGTGCCAGTTCTGAAGTCAGAGACAAAGTTCTGCTGTTTGTTCTTTTTCTTGTCCAAACTTTATACGTTATTCCCTTCCCTGGGTCTTCCTTCCAATCCCTGGACTCCCTGGGATTTAGGGTATGTGTTTGGTTAGTAGATATTTCTGTGGTGCATCAGGATAGCACGTGGTGGTGGGTCATGGACCCTGGGAGTTGGGGATCCCTTGTCAGCCAGGCCATGCATTTTGTGATGCCCTTGAAGTAAAATGGAGCCATCGGTAGTACCTTCTGTAAATAGATGCGATAAAGTGATGCTGTTTATAAGGTGCCCAGTGAGCCACTGATGTACAATAGCCTTGAGGTCCAAGCACTGGAAAGTGACCAAGTCCTCCTTTGTCTCTGTGCACAGGTAGCCTAGTGCTGGGTAGGAAGGACAACAGAGGCCAACCCTGACTTTCCTGGAATTTGTTTCCTTAACTTGAATATTGAGCTACTTCTGCTTCTGAAGCTTTCTCGTGTACATCTTTACTGCTCCGTTACTCTGAGGCCTCCTGTGCTGTGTGTGAATAGTTGTCTCTTTGTGAGGAAAACAACTCAATTGGAACTAGAGTCCTTAGGTCATGCTCCTCTCCCCTCAAGACTCTAGATGTTGCTTCACTGTCTTTTATCTTGTAATATTTCCCTGGCGACATTGAAGGTCCATCTGCAGGTTCTTCGTGTTTGCTGCCTGGATGTCAGAGTGGGGAGAGCGGTGCAGCCAGCGCCAGTGGGGAATTTGGTCATGGCTCTTCCTCTGCAACTACAATAGAAGTCCTGCCCTGGGGATCACTATAGAGTGACCTTGGTTTTCAAATTGTTCCTTGCTTTATGAGCCCATGAGCACTTTGGTTCAAGGGTCCCACCAAGTCTCGGGCAGGGGAGGCACTACTGGTTTTGTTGTCCAGGGTTTTGTTATTGTATCTCATCTCCCTCCTTCTCTTGGTTCAGCAAAGCCAATATGTAAGAGATTAATTTTGCCCCCATACCCCTACTCCTCAGCTAGGAGGGGAAAAAATGTGAATCCTATCAGCAGTTCCAGCCAACCAAGTGATTCCTCCTCATTGTTGATGGGGAAAGGAACACAGAATAGTCTGTCCAGGGCCCTCCATGGCCCCATCCCCTAAGCTGTGAACACATCTGTCTACCCTTGGCGCCACTAAACGGTACTCTTGTAGGGTGCAGCCTGTAGTGAAATCTAAACCATGCTGGCTCCAGACAGAGCTCTGTGGTATGAGGCAGGGATTTTTCCTTTGTTCGTTTTTTTCTTTTTGCCATTTTGTTAGGTTGCAGCCATCAGTGTTGAGTCACTGATGTAGTGTAGACTGAATGGCGCCACCTGCCATATGAATGAGGGGTCGAACCCAATTCTACTCATCCATCCAGGGGCAAGACAAGCAAAGGCTGGGTCTTTTGCTAAGGAAATAATTGTCCCTGAAAGCAGGGTTATTCTGAAGGTACTGCTGTGGGCACCATGAAGATGGTGGAGTTATGTCTCCCAGCCCCTCCAAACCCGTGTCTGGGGGGCCCCTGTCTGCCGCACCCCCTCTCTGGGCAGGGCTGGTGGTGGGCCGAGGACCTGTGGAGTAGCAGGTCTGAGTGAGTGGCTTTCTGTCCACTCGGGTTCCCTCACCCTGTGGCATGGTGGGGAGCAGGCCCTGGGGCTGTGGATGGGGCACTGGTGCTGCAGCACCTGCCTCTCCTTTTCCCCTTCCTTCCCTTTCCTCAGAGACAGCGTTCCTTCTGCTCTTGGCAGGTTTTCCCCACATGGAAGATGTGGCAGGAGCAGATACTGCTCTCTTCCCCCACCCCAGAGATGCTTCAGCAACTTCTGCTGATTCAGATTATCCTCTGTCCACTCTCTTGGGGACCCAGCCTGCTGCCAGGAGGCTGAGTAGATGTCTCAGTTATCCTTCTGTTATTTCTGAGAGGCTTTGGTGGGTGCTCTTAACTTGGTATCCTTTGGCATCTGCGGAATCTGGTAGCAGTAATGATAATAACAACCATAATGATATCCTCCATTTGGACAACTCAAAAGACCACCAACTTGTCCTCCTGACCTTTACAAATGACACCATTTTCCTTCCACATTTAATATGCTTGCTGCAAGAAAGGGGGTGGGGGTGCTTCAAGGTGAAGATTCAAGTGAAGAGAAATTAAAAAGCTATTTGGACTAATTGCTGAGTCGGACTGCCAGGCTCTGAGACCTGAGCAAGTTGGCTCTCTTCCCTGTTCTGCCCTGACTGTGTGACCTTAGGCTTGTCTCTTAGCCTCTCTCAAATTTCCTTCCTTTCAAAGTGATCATCATGTGCTTCCCAAGGGCAATGGGAATGTGTACCGTAGAAGGTCAGCAGAGCATGGTGGCACCTTGCCAGGCTCCTAGCAGAAGCTTCCTTCATCGCTACAGGATGAATTGCTGAAGCTGACTGCATTTCTCACTGTCTTGCTGCAAGGGGGCACGCCTTTAGTTTCATGCTTTGGCTTCTGGGAGAGGAGTGATTAGGCGTTGGCTTAGCATGACTCAGGCAGGCCATGGTCAGGCACATGCTCTTCTGTGACATTTATCCTCACTATTTGTGTCTAACAGAGGAGGAAATGCAGATGGGGAGGGTGGTGGCAGCATCAGACTGACAGTTGGCTGTCTCTGATTTCTTGGGGTCATCCCCAGATTCTGATTTGTTGAGAGCCTGGAATAGGGCCAATTCCTGGAATAATCTTTGGAAAAGGGTCCCCTTGCCCTTGGGACATGAGTCGTGGTGTAGGGTTCCTCACAAAGCCGCCTTTCTCTCAGTCCACTGTTGCCCAGGGACACAAGGAGACACCCGTAGGACATCTGGGCCTGGCTTTTGGTCATCACTCTTGTCTTCATGGTCCCCACATTGGAGTCGCCTTCCCTCCTCCCTCCCTGCACCCATGAAGGAGACACCTCCTGAGTGTTCTTTCTCATCTGGCTTTTAACACAGCAGAGAGCACTGGGTGGCTGTGGATGGTTCACCCCGAGGTTGAAATACCCGTCCCGCAGGCCCCTCTTTGGCTCAGACCCTTGACGTTTCACACGTGTTTGTTTGAGCCTGTGTCTTTGAGTCAGGTGTGTGAGGGCCAAATCAGGCAGGTCAGAAACACTCATTGCCTCGGGAAGGATTTGGAGGAAGAAGCAGGTGCTGCCATTTCTGTAGTTTCAGGCTTTTCTTGAGGGCTCTGCCAGAGGTTGTCGACTTGGGTCGGAGGTGGGAGCGGCCCTCAGGGCGCTGCAATCATAAGGAAGCATGGTGGCAGGAGCCTGGTGAGCTGAGCTTCCAGTCACTGGCTGTGTGAATTGCTATTAGTCGTTCCCCCTCTCTGGACCTCAGACACCCAACTGGGAATGATGCTACCCACCTTCCCTACCTGAAGCCCTTTTAACTTCAAAGTGTGTGGCCCTGGAGCCCACGGTCCAGCACTGATAAGCCTCACCTTGCTAGATCATTGCCCTTCGTGAGGAAACGTGTGTGTAAATATGTATGGGCGTAGGTCAGAAACACTCAGCTACTTCATATGGTTCAACCTCACACACCACCTGCCTCTCTCCTCGGCTTCAGATCTGAGAATGACTTCTCCTTGGGAAGATACGGTTATTGTTAGGAACACATTCCCAAATGCCTCCCTTCTTTCAAACAGATCGATGTTTTCCTAGATCAGGAATTCAACTTAATGAAAACCCATATATGGAAAAAAAAAAAAAACCTCCAAAACCCTGCTGCTACTTCTGGGGAGGACCTTAGCCCCGGGCTTTTCCCTGGCATCCCTGCCTGGGCGCTCACCCCCTCAGGTGCTGGGGTTGGAAGGCAGGCGGTAGAAGCTGAAATCCTGGCTGATTAAAGCTCATTAACAGGACATAGGTGCCTAATTAGCCTGACCCAGCCCTGGACTTCTGGTTGGCTGTGCAGGCCAGGTGAGTCTCTTGTTGACTTCCTCTCTGTTGACTATTTGTCATGTGTCCTGCTGAGATATTGACAGTCGGGCCCCACCCCCTCGGTCATCCATTTCCAGTCTTGGGCCCTGGAAGCCCCGAAAGTACCGGACTCCCTACGCTGCTCAGGGAGCCCTGGCACTTGATGTTCAGAATGTGAGACTCACTCCTTGATCTGGAGCCGGTGGGACTAGTCCTTCCTGATTCTTACTGCATGTGGTTCCTGTGTTCCCTGCGTTCCCTGCATAACCCTTGCAGACAGACCCTGCTGTCCCCTGACCTGTCTTCCCTCCTGTCTGGTCTGACCTGGTCTCCCTGGCAAGAGCCCACCCCCTGGTTTTACTTGCCTGATTGGCAGGTGTGGACGTGACAACTAGATAGGTGTCTCAGGATGGGACACTGAAATACAGTTCCAGGGGTTCAAACACAGGCCTTTCCTACGGGGACGTGTGGCGTGGTTGTCTGGGAATGTTGAACTCAGAGGTCAGAATGGTCGTAAGAGGAGTCCTGGCGAGTGACGGCCCCGCGGACATGGTGTTGCTTGCTCTGTGCTCACTGAAGTCCAAGGCCAGGCTTCAGAAGTAATATGTAGCCACGTTCCTGAAGTCCTTCATGCCTAGCTAGACACCTGCCCAGAGAGGGCCAGGCTTTACTTAAAATTTTGATACTGTATTTATCGTGGATTTTTTCATTAATTCTGATTTTTAAAAACATTGCATTGAACTATGATTTTTCTTCCTGACTGAGTTTTCTGGTGCCCCCATGAATTTTGCATCCAAGGCGAGTGCCTCACTCACCTCACCCTAGTCCCAGCCCTGCCTGCCCCTCACCTGGGCCTGTGAAGGGGGCTTGGGTACCACTGTGAAGTAGGTCTCATGTCTTTTTCTAATTACCCTTCCCCTCAAGTTCCGAGTGCAGTGGCAATTCTCCGAGAATGTCTGCATTTAACAGGAGTGTGTCGGCTTGTAACAATGAAACATCTAGGAGTTTTTAAATTTGGATCTGTAACTGGGGGTGACTTTTCCCTGGCTGTCTTTCAGGCCCTCTGAAACCCCGAGGCCACTTACGGGTGTGTATGTGTTCTGGGGGGAGGGAAGCGATTACAGCAGAGAGGATCCTTTAGATGCTCTTTCTTATTTTTAAACATTTTTTTCAGAATGCCCCCTGCTAGATTCTCATCTTAAACCTCTTTGGGACATCTTTGAATTCCAGGAGAAGTGAATAAACTTCACTCGTTCTCTCTTCCAGCTATCAGAAGGGACTACCGTGAGTGGAGGTTTCTCACTCCC